CAAACAAATATCAAGCCTTCTATATGAAGAAGTTACTAAAGCTTACCACAACACAAAACAACTGCTTGATATTGCTCTGTATTTAAAAGATACCTGGTACACATTAACTATAAGAAAAACCACAGCTAAAACTTTCACTGCCAAACAAATATCAAGCCTTCTATATGAAGAAGTTACTAAAGCTTACCACAACACAAAACAACTGCTTGATATTGCTCTGTATTTAAAAGATACCTTGTACACACTAATTATAAGAAAAACCACAGCTAAAACTTTCACTGCCAAACAAATATCAAGCCTTCTATATGAAGAAGTTACTAAAGCTTACCACAACACAAAACAACCCCATAACATGTAAATTATTTTCTGATAATTTTTATCAGGAACACTTCAAACATTTAAACCAAAGAATAAAAAAAAAATCTAATTCAGTCTCTGTAAAGATTCGTGAAATAACTTAATTGTTGACTATTTTATATTTTTTATTATCTTTTATTGTAATAGTTTTATCTTTCAGTAAAATATTTCACATGTCTTTATAAAGATGTATGTCAGAAAGACTTAAGCCTAATCTGTGTCTGAATTACACTGAATTGTTACAGAGTATCTGAAGAGCTTGATAGATCACTGGATTGAGGAAGCAGACCTGATGAGATTAGAACATGTCATTATTGCAGGACAGGGTGACAAACTCATTGGTCGAAGTTCTGATAACAAACAAGTTCAAGAATTCTTAGATTTGGTTCCAGCTTACATGGTGAGGGTTTGAGTAATTAGACTAAAGTTTAAACATACATTACTAGCAAACACTTTGAAATATCTGTCAAAGTTTAAAATTTAAAGAAATAGACAATAATATTTATTGAAAAGTTAGCAAACAATAAATGAAATTCATTTATTTATTTTTTAAAACTACATTTCAGGTTGTTCGTAACAATAATATGTCTTAAGATTTTTGTAGTAATATAAGTTTTATACTTTAGTTCATTAATTGCTTCTCCTCGTTTGTTTTTTATATTACTTATTTTGTCACTTTCAGTTGGATAAGATTCAATATTGGTTTGATTTTCTTATTCAGCTCCAAATATAGGCTAAAAATTTATCTGCACGTACTGAATACATACATAGGATTACAGTAGTTAATTTCTCTCTTAAAAGTGAGGAAACATTTAAGTTTTTCATAACATTTGTTAAACATCAATTAAAAAATAATGGTGTCACACTGAAAGCCCAGTTTTCTTGTCTTTTCTTTTATTGAGGTTTTTATTATGTGTGCTTGCTTCTAAGGTATTGTTGGAAATAATATATATATATTGTTTTTATTTCATTCTTTTGTTGTGAGCTTTGATTGAAAATACAGGTTGGACATTTTTAGAAAACATCTTAGTGTTATATTTATATCCACCTAGGAAAGTCTTTGGAGACCTCAAACTTAATTCAATAAATGTTAAAGTAATGTATTGAGTAAATATGTTTATAAAATATGTTACTTACCTTAATGTGCTCAAATCTTGACTCTGAGACCTTTTCTTACATGTATTAAGCTAGGTATTTTTTTTATATGGTGTATTTGCTGTAATACTTGTGTTTTAATCACGAACACAAACACGGATACATATATATATATATTGTTTCTGTGTACAAACATAATTAGTTTGTCTCAACTTAACTGTACAAAACAAAATTATACCAAGAACATGAAACAAAATTGATGTTACATGGTGTATCATATTTGATGTTACATGGAGTATCATATTTGACATTACGTGGTGTATCATATTTGACGTTACATGGTGTATGATACTTGATGTTACATGGTGTATCATATTTGACATTACATGGTGTATCATATTTGACGTTACATGGTGTATCATATTTGACGTTACGTGGTGTATCATATTTGACATTACGTGGTGTATCATATTTGACGTTAAATGGTGTATCATATTTGACGTTATGTGGTGTATCATACTTGACGTTACGTGGTGTATCATACTTGACGTTACTCGTGTATCATATTTTACATTAGGTGATGTATCATACTTGACATTACATGGTGTATCATATTTGACGTTACATGGTGTATCATATTTGACGTTATGTGGTGTATCATATTTGACGTTACGTGCTGTATCATACTTGAAGTTACGTGGTGTATCATACTTGACGTTACATGATGTATCATACACACAACTATTTTAGTGAACTGTTTACTTTAATCTGGTTACCTGCCCTATGTTCTTTTATTCATGCGTGCACTATATTGAAGTACAAATCTTCTTTCCAGGCCAGGATCCGGGCTGTTCACGAGGCAGTAGTACGAGGAAATTTAACAGAAGTGAAACAAGTCATAACTAGAAAGAGATTTGCCCTTAGCCGTGATCATCTGGGAGCTAGCCCGCTACATCTAGCAGTGCTTCATGGTCACTCAGATGTGATGGCTTACATCATTTCTCAATTTCCAGAAACAATGGATGGGCCAGATAATGTTTGTTTACTTATAACATTAGAGAATTTTTGTCTAGTTTCATATTAAGAAAACCCTAACTATATCAGCACTTTGCATTAAACATTTCAGTAACAATTCAAGAAGCTCTCAGAAGGTAAGCCTTCCTTCTTCAGAGGTGAAGAAATTCCACTCTTACAAGTGCTCAGGTTATTGAAGTTTTTTTATCCTACATTTTTCTAAAACCTATGAAGTGATATTGGAGCATGCAAAGGTAACTGTTGGACTTATATAAAAAATAGAAAATGTACAGCAGCGAGGAACAAAGAAGAATCATATTCGTTGAACCTCAGAATTGAGAAGAACACCATGATTGATTCATGTTTTCTAACTAATTTATATAATAGGGTGAACAATTGGGAAGTTTTTTTATTTAAAGAAGGATGACATTTCGAGCTAGCGTTCTTTGTTGGATCCTACAGCTTACAAACAATACGTCATCCTTCTTTAAATAAAAATATAAAATTTGCCAATTGTTCACCCTATTATTAAATTTTGATATCTTTGTTGCCTATGCAGTTTTAACTATATGTTTCATGTTTTCTAACTGTCACAAAGACATGTCAGTAATAAGATAGAGATAAGCTATGATATAGGTCCTGCTTATCTCTGTTTGGTTAACTTGTGTTCAGGGTTACTGATGAGGAGTGGAATTCTCCGAAACTAGTATAACCCAATAACATGCGTTGATCAAAGTGTAGATTGAACTGGACCTCCC